CGCTGCCCCTCGGCCTGGGGCGGGGGTGAGTGGGGCCGCTGGCAAGGAGCTGGTGCAGTGCGTGGGGGGTTCCCGGGCAAGCAGCACCTGGAGGGGCCCGATCTGGCCTGGGTCAGAGCTCTGGACACGGGTGAGCACCCGTCCTGCCCCAGTGACTCCAGAGACTCCGGACGTGCTGCTTCGGCCACGCTTGGCCCTTTGCTCGCACCAGCGCTCAGGCTGTAATGTGTCCGTCGGCCCCATCTCCTTGGCCGGTGGCTCCCGCCTGAGACGTTTCCTGCTGCCAGCTCAGTTACCTGGTCACCGTTGTTCTCCCGGTGCTGGCTGCCGTCTGGCCCGGGCCTCGGCTTGGTGCCAGGGGCTGCTCCCCAGGCTCTGCGCCCGCTGGAGTGACGTCCAAGTCACATCCCTGCTCCATTTGTTCCCCCGGGGAGTAAGAGCCGGAGCCGAGCCCTGGCATCGTGGCTGCCAGGGCCAGGTGGGCTCGTGGGGGACGAGGTGGGTGCCCAAAGGTGGGACTCCGGGTGCTGGGTTCGGACCGGCTCAGCCAGGGCTGTTGTGCCAGGAAGCCCTACAAACTGCTTTGGGCAGCCCTGCCACCTCCCCTCCAGCCCCGGGGCACCACAGGCTCGGGGCTGGGGGTTTGCTGGGTGCCCCGGGGGCCTGGGTGCGGGGTGGCCCGGGCCGGCGCTGGGGAATGCTTACAGCAGGAAGCTGAGTCAGCCGGGAAGGCACGTCTGCGGGAACAGGAAAGAGTCGGGGTGCCGCGGCACCGGCGGGAAGCGGCAGCTGCGCTATGCTGTGGGCAGGGGGTCGGCACGGGGGCCGCGCTGCCCTGCCGGAGCCTCCTGAGGTGCCATCCTCAGCCTGCTCTGGGTGACAACGCACAGACCTGCCCATTGTTCGTGGGCTGAGGAGCCCGCCGCTCTCCCTGGGGTGACGTTGGGGCCGACGGAGGGCCCTGGAGGTGTGGGGATGGGTGGTCTGGGTTTCTCCCTGTCCTGCCAGTGCTCCGGCTCTGCCATGTCCCAGCTGAGGTCTCTGGGCTGAGACAGAGCCCCGGGAGCGGTGATGGGGTGGGTGCCAGCTGTGTGGTGCAGCTGGGTCTCCAGCCAGCCTGGGGAGGTGGATCTTACCCGCACAGCAAGCGCCGCTTCTTCCTGGGGCTTTGTCTTTGACCCACTGGGGCTTTGTATCCCCAGAGCACCCTGCTCGGGTCTCCCTGTGCCTGTGCGGTGTGGGCTGGGGAAAGCCTGCTCTGAGCTGACGTGAGGCAGGGAAGGAATTATTTTTCTTTCTGGTTAGGTTTTGGCTCCACTCAGCTGGAAGAGGATTAGCCCATATAAGGGAAAACTGCCTCTCCCACCACTTCCTCCCTGCTCCTCAACTCTCCCCAGCCCTCGGCTCTGGGCTGCTTCTCCTCCTTTCTCCCAGCAAGTGAGACCTTGGCAGCAGCGTGTGACGTTTCTGAGGGTCCTGGAAGAAGGAGGCTGGGGGATGTGAGCAGGTCCCTTGCTGGGACCATTGCTGTCCTGGCTGGGCTGGGAGCTGCTTGGGAGCCTCTGCCCCCCATCTCCCTCCTATAGTCATCCACATGGTTCCCTCCCTAGCTGCCTGCTGGTATCCCAGTCCTGGGGAGGCCAGCTGGGATGAACCTGTGGTGCAGTGTGAAGGTGACCAAGGGCTTGGAGAAGCCTGGGGAGGAAGCTGTGGGGAATGGGGTGGGTGCTGCTGCAGGGTGCCCCTTAGGTGGGTGTCTGGAAGCAGGGGGTTATTTGAACGCTTGGGGCTTTGCTGGGCTCCAGGCTATGGTCTGCTGGCCCTGGGCTGGGGAATGCTTCCCTCTCCTGGCCCCTCCAGATCTCAGCCTGGTTAATTAGACAGACAGGATGCAAATACCCTTGCAGGCAGAGGCAGGGCAGGCTTGAGCTAGGAAAGTCATGGCCATGAGGTCCCCTTCTTCTTACACCTGGTTGCCTTTCGGAAGGGCTTCAATGGCCCCAAGGAGCGTTGCATCCCTGCCATGTCCCTGTCACCCAGCTGTCCTTCCTGCTTTCCTCTGCCTAGGAGGCAGCCACGTTCTCCGCAGCTCCTTCCAAAGGTGCAGCAAAGCTTGGGGCTGCAGGAGGTGCTTGATGTGCCTGGCTCTTGTACCCCGAGCGGTTTCCCTGTGGCCAGGCTCCAGCCTCTCAATTGCTCTGTGCTCAGCTGCTCCAGGGAGCTGGATGGATGCAGGGCTAATTACGGCCCTCCTGGAGGATCTGCCAGCCATGCTGGGGCTCTGAACACTGCTGTGCTTGGGCATCATCGGGAAAGCAGCCCACGGGTGCCTTGCCAGCACCCTTTTCACAAAGCCACTTTGTGTGTGTGCTGAGGCGGGCGTTTGCTCATAACCATTAATTTGCTGCTGGCTGGGCAGGGCTGGTGGGGCCCTGGCATGTGCTGATCCCTGGGCCTGCCTGTGCCGGCAGGGTTGGGCCCCTAGGCCCCTTCCCACCCCCTGGCTCCAGCGGTGGTTTCTGGCATGCTCCCCCTCGCCGCTGGCCACAGAGCCTCCGAAGCCACTCATTTGCCTCATCCCGGCTCCCTGCTGACGTGGGCTTGGGATGAGGTTCTGTCTCCTGCCCTGCTGCTGTTTCTCCTGTGGGGAGAAGCCTTCTAGGACCTGGGTGCGGGCCAGGTCCCAGCTGGAACATCCTGGACAGGGCAGACGCTGGAACTGGTGGGTGGGTGTCATGCAGCACGAGGGTTACCGGGGTGTCCCCTGCTCTGGTGTGTGCAGGGCTGGTGTCCCTTCATGTCGCCCCTTTCCTGGCAGTTCTGGCTCCTGCAGCTGCTGCCCCCTCTGTCGCCCTGACCCAGCTGCTGGGGCCGAGCCAGACACCACCAGCAGCTTATTTAGGGAAGGGCTGGGACCTCGGCTTCCTGACATGTGGTGGAGGAGTGTTTTTCTGTCCTCAAGGCTTTTGCGTGGCTGTGGGGAGAGCCAGGCTTGCCATGGGGCCTCTACCTCCAGCCCCTCGTTTTGCCTGGACCAGGCTCCATCGCTCCCCCAGCCCATTGCTGCCACACTGTGAACAGCAGAGCTGGGCTTCCCGACTGGCCAGGGTGGCCACTGTCCCTGCTGGAATAGCAGGGGTGAAAGGCCCCGTCTAGGTGCCTTTGTCCTGGCAGCCAGCGTCCTGGCCTGCAGCAGCATCCCCAGGGCACAGGCAGCTGCAGTGTGGACGGGAAATGGGAGGCCCGTGTGGACAGATGGGCTGGTTTCCTCCCCGACATCCCCCTGCCCTGGCAGCGCAGCAGCTCCTGCTCTTCCTAGCTGCTTCCCTGCCCTTGTGCCAGCGGAGGTAACAGCTCTGGATAAGAGCCTGGGGGGCTGCAGCACCCAGCCCTGGGCAGCAGGCAGACACTCGTGCTGCTGCAGGATGCGATAAGCGGCTGCAGTGTGCCGGGAGGGGTGGCACTGTCAGCAGGCCTGCTGGGGGCTGCCAGGTTGGGAGGGAGCACCCCAGCTTCAGGCGGCTGCCCCCAAGGTTGCGTGCATTTTCAGCACCAGGCTGGCCAGGGGGAGCTGCCCTGGGGGTTGTCAGTTGCGGCTGCCAAGCATTCTACTGGGGTCTTCCCAGCTGGGGAAGGATAATGCTCCCGGCTGGGCTTCGAGGCTGGCAGGGGCTGGAGGACCACAATTTTGGCTGCCGCTGGGGTGGTACATGGCTGCTCTGTGCCTGCTGGCTTCACTGGGATGGAAATATCCTCCCCTGGTCTCCAAACCCTGAGCAGGGAGGGCAAAGGGCGATGGCTTTGCTGGGGGCTCTGTGCAGGGGGGTTTCTGTATGCGGGTGGTGGTTTGGGGCTCTCAGCGCTGCTCAGCCTGTGTCCAACTGAGGGACCAACCCTGGATTCCCACTGCAGCGGAACCTGAAGAGCCCGGATGGGTGGCCTGGCAGTGGCCCATGGGACTGGAAGGGAGGGGACTGATGCTCTTGTCCCGTGGTGCAGCCGTGGCCGCTCCCAGCATGCCGGGGCTTGATGCTGATGGCAGCTGCTGTGGGTCACGGGGTTTATTTTTAACGAGCTCCATGGGAAATTGCCTCCTGGATTCCCAGCACCGGGTCAGTCCCGACGTCCCACAGCAGGACAGTGGGGCTATGCCTGCCCTGGCTGGCCTTTCCCCACGGATCCAGCTGCCTTCTACTCCCCTTCAGTGCGGGGGGGGGGCTGTGTAGGCTGTGTACGGCCCCCTCAAAGCACTTGGGCTGGTAGCAGGGCTGGGGCTGTGGACCTGATCTGTTAGAGAGGAAGCAGCTCTGGGTGCCCATGCTAGGTCCTGGCAGGCGGCCTTGGGTGGGCTGAGTAGCACCCACGAGATGTTCATGGGGGGGTTGGGGGGGGGTTGTGGCTATGCTTCCCACATACAGAGGGTTGCACTTCGATTTAGGACAGATCCCGTTCATGGATTTGGCTCCGAGAGCCGCCTGCCATGCCCTAGCACTGGGTGAGGGTGGGGAGGGCTGCAGGGGGGGCTGGGGGGGACCCCTCGTCAGTGTGATGCTGGTACCCTCCCAACCAGCACCTCCTGAGGGCCATGGGGCTGGGGGCGGGGAACAGACTCTGCTGTCCCCCTCTGCTGCTGGAGGGCCTGGCATGGGCAGGAGGGCTTGTCCCTGTGCTGGTGGCATGGGGGGGCAGGGCTGCAGTGAACTGACCCTTGGGGGCTGCACGGACCACCGATGGGCATTCATGCCGTGCGCCCTTGTCTCCTTGCCCCTCACATGCCTGGACGTCTCAGTGTCAGCATGGCAGCCCCTCGCCATGGCTGATCCCAGCATCCCGCTCCTGGGGGGGGGTGGGGGGTGGCACGCACGCTCCCTGCGGGGCCTGGCAGTGCCGGGCAGCATGTGCCATGTGCGTGGGCCCCGCCAGACAGACGGCCCCATTGTATGGCGCATGGGCAGCCTGCGGCAGCCCGGCGGAGGGCGGTACCAGGGCTGAGCCAAGGGGCCACAGCGGCCGGAGCCGGTGCTGAGCCCTGTCCCGTCACACCCAGCTGGAGGCGACGCTGGACCTGGCCGAGCGGCGCCGCATCCGCTCGGCCATCAGGGAGCTGCAGCGGCAGGAGCTGGAGCGGGACGAGGAGGCGCTGGCATCCAAGCGCTTTCGCCCAGAGCGTGGCAGTCACCGACAGGACGACAAAGAGAACTGGCCTCGGTGAGTCTGGCCTGGGGCTGGGATTCCTGCGCACCCCCCGCCTTTGCCCCAGGAGACGGTGGCTTTGAGGCCCAGCCCCACTGTGGCTTGGACAGATTTGGGTTTGTGCGAGGGTGGGAGCAGCCTGGCACCGAGCAGCTTGGTGTGTGGCGGGGGCCATTGCCTGATTTTGCCAGCTGCCCATGAGGGACTTTGCTCCCGAGCACCCACGGCAGCTCCCGGCCGGCCACTCTCGCCCCCGCGCAGGTCCCGGCGCCTGGAGGAGGAGCAGCAGGCAGCCCTGGCCGCCTTGTCCCAGCAGCTTGAAGCCATCACAGACGTGGAGGAGCTGACAAAACTGGTGAGTGACTGTGTGCCGGGGCTGACTGTGTGCCGGGGTGACCCTGCTTCTCTACTGGGTGTTTCCCTTTTGCAGCTGCGGGCGGCGGGTGAGTACGAGGAGCGCAAGCTGATCCGAGCTGCCATCCGCAAGCTGCGGGCTGAGGAGATTGAAGGTGAGGCACCATTCCTGTGTCCCGGAGTGGCTACCATGGAGAGCCTGGAATGTAGGCAGCTCCTTCCGAAACGCCGCCTTTGCTCCCATCCAGCTGCAGCCCTGGCTGGGAACGTGCAGAGCAGCCGGAGGGACGGCAGCGAGCCCCGCGCTGTGCCTGGGGATGTGAAAAGCAACCGGAGGGATGATGCTGAAACACCAGCCCTGGCTGGGAGCGGGAAGAGCAGCCAGAGGTGCGATACCGAGCTGCCAGCCCTGGCCGGGAGTGAGGAGAGCCATGGCGAGGGCAGTACCAAGCCCCTGGCCACAGCCAGGAGTGGGGAGAGCAGCCAGCAGGATGATGCAGAGCAGCTGGCGCTGGCTGGGCTGGAGGAGAGTGGCTGCGGGGGGGCTGCAGAGCAGCCCCCTGCCCAGGAGCGCAAAGGCTTAGCGGTGAGTGTGCAGGGTGCTGCTGGGGAGATGGGACCACCAAAGACCTCCTCGCCTTCCTTCCCAAGGGCTCCTGTGCCAGCCTCTCTGGGGCACAAACCCCCAGGCATGCTGGGCTTGCTCACCCGAGGGGACTGGGGCAGGTGGAGCTGGGGTCTCTGGGGACGTGGCCTGGCTGTGCCTGTGTCACCAGTGGTGAGCTGGGGCTGGGGGCTCAGGCCTGTGTGCCCCTGGGCTTCTCCCCGAGGATGAAGCCTGGGCACGAGTGCTGTGGGTGAGGGGGTCTGCGGGGCCCCTCAGTGCACTTGGTACACCCCTCTGTGCTGCGGCTCTGTGGGTATGGTGCTCTTTGGAGGTGATGGGTATTTGTCCTGCCTGTGGCAGCTGCCTACATCAGTCCCCTTGCACAGGCAGAAATGTTGATCCCTCTGTCCCCTTCCCTATGCTCATTGTTCCTGCTGTCCCTCGAGGGGCTGGGGCTCACTCTGGAGCAAAGCTGGTGCCCACCACCCATGGTAGAGGTTCTCTGGCTGGTCAAAGGATGACCTGGTGGGGAGGGCTGGAAGGAACGGGCACAAGTCTGGGTTTTCTGCACAGCAGAGGTGACCCTGCAGGTGACTATAGCTTTCGTGGTGGTAGGAGGTCCCTGCAGAGACACCATGTGGAGTTGCCCTTTGGGAGAGAGGGTGGGGAAGGGAGAAGCAGTGGTTATAACCACAGCCAAGCGGGAAGGCGTGGGTCCCTGCATCTGCCTCTGTGCAGCCCAGCTTCCCCCTCCACCTGCCCCAGGGCCATGGCAAGAGGCTGCAGGGGGGACATGGCCCTGTGCCACCTTTCAGCACTGTCTGCCTTCCCCATCCGGGTGTGCTGGCACGCTGCCCCCATCCTGGCTGTGCTGGGACATCTCCCAAGCAGCTGATGGAGCTGTCCCACTCTGTCCGGCTGATGACTCCAAACCCGAGGCCATTACCCTGGAACAACGGCTGCAGTGGCGCCTGGGTTTGGGTCCTGGTTCCCCAGTGCTCCCTTGGGGTATGGGCCCCTCTCCGCCTCCCCCCACTCTGGAGTCATGTCAGCACCTGGAGCCTGTGGTGCTCCTAGAGGCACTGGCACCCTGTGCCTTGGCTGGTGACACCAGGACACCCCGTCCCTGCTCAGGCGCGTGTCAGGGATGCACCTGTCACCTGCATGCAGTCCTGTGCCCAGAGCATCCCATCGTCTGCCAAGCAGAGCTGCCAGTGCTGTGGGCAGGGACAGGGTGATGCAAAACTGGATGCTCCCTGCCTTAGAGAGCCCTGAGGTGCCTGGGCTGGGTGGCAGGAGGGGACAGGGGCTCTGGGCAGAGGCTGTCCTCTCCTTCCACCTCCTGGCATCCATGCTGGACAAGGCTGGTGTAGTCGTGGCAGAGGCCACAGAGGGACCCAAGAGCCAGCTCCTTGCTCCATGCCCTGGTGCTTATCAGCCCCACGGAGAGGGGTGCAGGGAGCCCCAGGGCTGTGCAGGGTTTGGGCCCCCCCTTCAATCAACACAGCGTCCCTCTCCTTGCCTGGGGGAGGCAGTGGGGTGTGGGGACACTTGTCCCCCTGCCAGCCTCCTGCAGTGACCCCTGTGCAGGGGGTGGCTTGTCTATCCCCGGCAGCATGCAGGCAGGGACATGGGTGGCATGGGCAGAGGCCACAGCCTGCGGCATGTCCCTGGCTGGGTGGCAGGGATCGGACAGGGTGACCCAGTCAGAGACTGGCCCTGCTCTCACCCCCTGCTGGCACGCTGCCCCCATCTCCCCAGGCCCATGAGCAAGATGATGCAGTGGAGCAGGAGCATGTCCTGGCTGGGATGCAGGAGCTATGCAGCCGGCAGGCGGGAGACCCCCAGAAACCCAGCACCCAGGGTGAGTCCCCACGAATGCCGGAGGCAAAGCCCTGTCTGAGTGCGTGCCTGGGGCCAGAGCGGCACCAGGGCCAGCTGCAGGCAAGGGCAGGAGGATGGAGAGGGCAGCACAGCATGTCCCAAAGGTGTGGGCAGGGGAGCCGGGCGCCTGCTGGGGCCGCAGGAGCGGGGATGCTCTGCAGGCAGCCGCAGGCTTCCCCCATGCGGAGCCTCTTCTCCCTCCTGCAGCTGTGGTCTCGGGGACCCTCGTGCTCGTGGAGCTGCAGCCGGCCCCAGAGCCTGGTCCGGAGCCCGAAGATGGTGGCAAGGAGGTGGAGCGGGGCCAGCTGTGGTCCCCAGGTGCTGCCCAGCCCAAGGGGCAGCACCAGGCAGCCTGGAAGGAAGGGAGTGTTGGCAGCCCTGCCACCACCCAAGAACCCGGTGGGGGACAAAGCCACCGGGTGGAGCAGCCGCCCCCAGGCCAGCCCAGTGCTGGCAGCCAGGGCAGCCAGGTACAGAACTGGTGACATGGGCTGGGGCCGACACTGCCCTCTTCGCCATGGGCTGTCGGTCCCATGGGTGAAGGCGGCTTGATCGGGTGGGGGGGGTGCGTGTGGCCCCCCTAGCTGACTGCTTTGCACCTTTCCTTTCCTGCAGCTTGGTGTTGGGGTGCAAAGCCAGGTGCTGGAGCCATCGGGGAGGCGTGGGGAGCCACCAGCGGGTAAGTGCAGCCCCATGAGGAGGGAGTGCTGGGGCCGTGGCCCTCCCTCTCCTCCCCTCCAAGCTGGGCAGTGCTGCCCCAGGGGGCCCCCATTGCCCCCTTGCCTTGTGGGATGCGCGTCCCAGCGGTGCAAGGAAGGATGTCAGTCTTGGGGACATGACTTAAGCCCACGCGGGCTGGGGCAGGAATGTGAGGGCAGGACGTGGCCAGGCCAGGGGCTATCCCCAGCTGGTGGCCATTTGCCACCCGGCCGTGCGGTGGCAGTGCCTGCCCCAGCTGGGTGCCGGGGGAGCAGGGTGCCAGGCTGGCTGTTTACCAGTCCCCCAGCTCCAGGCCGGGCGGCAGCAGGGCCATGAAAGGGAATCGGTGCCGGCAGCAAACCCCGGCCTTTTGCATTCTTTGTCCCAATAAGGCTGGGAGCCGTGTGCCTGCTGGCCCCGACCCCCCCGGGGCCACGCTCGCTGGCCGGGCCGGGGCCCAGCACCCACCGGGTCCTCCCTGCAGCCTTGAGGGATAGCGATGGCCAGCAGCTGCCCTCTTCCTACTGCTGGGAAAACTGTCCCCGCAGCTGTGCCAGGAGGAAACGGGTGTGAAAAAAACAGAAAGCAGCTCTCTGCCCCCAGCGTCACGGTTCCTGCTCGGAGCCACCCTTGCAGGTGGAGGTCCCCTCCTTCCCAGAAGCCACAGGGGGCTGCTGGGTCCTGGGAAGGCAGATACGCTGGGGACATACTTTGAGGTGGTGGGTTGCATCGTGGCACAGCCCCGGGGCAGAGGGAAGTGTGCAGGACCTGACCCAACCTTGCATCACCTGGGGGGCTCAAACCTGGGTGCTGGGGAAAGGCTGAGCCTCCCCACTTGGTCATCAGAGCACTGCCTGTTCAGTGCCTGCCTGCGCCCTGGGTGCTCCTTGGGTGGGGGCTGAGCCACTGGGCCCCCTCACCTTCCTCTCTGGAGGCGATGCTGGGCTGGCCCCACTGTGCCAGGGCCTGGTGGGTGCAGGGGTGATCCTGATCTTTTGGCACAGACCCTGGGTACCACTCGCTGCTCTGCCGGGGTGCGGGTAGCCCAATCTCTGCCTTGCCCTCCTCTGTGGCATGGTTTGGCACTGCAGGGGAGAGCCAACTGCCTGGGGTGCAGAGCAGCCTGCAAGTGCTGGTGGATTTTGGCGCTATGCTCTGGGGAGTGTGGGGTGGCAGGGAGGGGGACCCCAGGGTGCAGTGCCTGGGGGCTTGGGGTGGGGTGTGGCAACAGCACCCTGTGCCACATTCACCCTTGCATATCTGGCCTGTCCCTTCCCAAGTGGCAGTGCCCACCCAGGATGTAGCGGGGACCTCGGCTCGCCTGAACACTCACCGGTGGGAGCAAGTGCCCTCCTCCATGCGGCCGGCTGGTCGCACAGGTAAGGTCCCAGCGGCGGCTGCCTCCACTCTCTCTGCTTCCTAGTGGCAGGAGGTTCCCGGCAGAGCCCGGGCAGGTGCGGAGCTCTGCGGTGGCAGGATGCTGCGGGATGCAGCTGGCTGCTGGCTGCCCACCCACCTGCTTCCTTGCCCCGTTGCCCAGCATCCATTCTTCCCCACTGGTGCGCACGAGCAGCCAGGCCCCAGCAGAAGCAGGGGGGCAGAAGCTTTGAAGGGCTGCGGCCACCCCGGGGTGGGCAGCGTGCGTGGCAGGGCATCTGGAGGGGTTGCATGTGTGGTGGGGTCTCCGGGGGGGGCAGCATGCATCGTGTGGGCACCACAGAGGGCTGCATGCGTGGCAGGGTACCGAGGGGAGGGTGGCATGGTGCGGGCACCCCGAGAGGCAGCATGCATGGTGGGGCACCCGGGGCAGGCAGGGCAGTGTGCATCGTAGAGGGCACCCCGGGGGGCTGCATGCATGCGTAGCAGGGCACCCCGGGGGGCTGCATGCATCGCGTCGGGGGAGGGGGCGGGCAGGGGGGTGCAGCATGCGTGGCGGGAGCGCCCGGGGGT